TAGCCCGTTGTGAACTTGTTAAGCATTCTGATAACTGTGTGCTTTTGTGCGACAATGCTCTTCTTCCCTTGCTCAGCAGAATTCATGCCGGCCAGCACTAAAGGCAAATTGATGAGAGCTTCGGAAACAAATAAAACGAAAACATAGGAAAGGAGGTGAATAGGATTTTTCTGGTGGTCTCGTTCGTGATTAATGATGTCACATCGTGAATTTACCTCCTTTCTCCCCTCTTTTATTCACGTTATTTCCTAAGGAAGCACAATTGAGGTCGCAGAACCATATTACTCTTTTTTCGTTACACCCTATGGGTGTATAAGTGTGAAAATTAGTAATATCACACCCTTAAAACGCTCAATTTGGCTAGTTTGTGTTTACAGTGTAAGTTTTTCATCAATCTGGTATAGTGCTTTATTTTGCGTTCTTCATTAAAAAAATGATGGATTCAATTCTATGTTTGGTAATGAGTTTCGCACGTAGACGTTAGTCCGCCGAATTGTGTTCCTTGGATTTACTTTGCGTTTAATTAGGCTGCCAAAACGGGTCCCTGGGGGCAAAAAGTGCGTGGTTCAGGTGTGTCCATGAGATGCCGCGATAGCACTATAGCTGCTCGTAAGTTAAGCGTTTGCTCTTCTGAATGATCTCGTTCAATTCTTTTTTATTTTTTCTATTTCCACATACTGCAGGCTTTTCACAGTCCATGCAGGAGTGTAGTTTATAAAATACATACAAATATCAAAAAAGAAATACATAATGGGGAAACAAGAAAGAAGATACAATGTCAACAGCTTTACAGCAGTTATCCTCCCAGTCGTCGGACCCTTATTTTAATTTGCACCTTGGCCCCAATATTATAACTATTGGTCAAGTTGAGCCAGTTTTATAGATTCGTGTCATGTACTTAGTAACCCGGCTGCGGATTGTATTTGGGGTGTAATGTAAGAGTTAAAATTGAAATTACGCCAGTGTGACGTTAACTAAAGACAGCGAAAATGAAACCACGCACACTGCTTAGTTGCATGTTTTGAAGCGAAGCTCTTTAAAGTGACACCTGTTCGTCCCTCGTAGTAGTGCGTAACATGTCTTACGCCTTGACCTGCAAGGTGGTGCCGGTGGGAGATTTCTCCTGTGCGTTGTTGAACAATAACAAATTCGCAGCGTGCGCGTTAACCAAAAGCCAAATTCTGCTGTCTCTCATTCCCCATTAGCAGCCATTGGTATGTACATTAGGCACTATTTGACAAGAAAAGGTTGCTACGTTATACTCGCTGGGCGTAACCTCCTTCGTTTTAGAAAGATTTAGCGAGCGTTGGGCCGCAGTGCCATGAATACAGTGAACTAGTATATGCCACCAACTCGAGGTGGTTAAAGGTGGGAAGTATACACACGAAGCCCAAGCCGTAAGAAAGTGTGCGTGTGCCACCTCTTGTTTAGTCCTTGGAATGTTTGCTTGATGGCGGTGCTTCTACATGCAGAATATATGATGAAAAGATGCGATATGGTGGCACTTGGAGTGTTGAATAGATGGATGAACGGATACACAGACAGATGCATGGATGGAAGCACTGATGGTCGGACGGACGGATGGATGCATGGACGGACGCAGGGGTGGATGCATGGACGAACGCAGGTATGAATGCACAGATGGACGTGCGGACACACGAACAGACGCACGTACGGACGGGCGGATAGATGCACGGACGGTCACACAGACGGATGTATGGACGGACGGAAGCAAGAACGAATGGACGGACAAATGCTTCGCCCCACCCTCCATCATTCACCCCATGGATATGCTGCCATTTTTCCCGCTTAGGCTTAAACAGGTGTACTATTCATCGCTAGAACCCTTAAAGAGGTGTTTATTTTAAAGGACTTACTTCTCCCTAACTCAACAGACGTCCCGTCCTCTATGCTGGTGGCAACCTCTCACTGGCTCCAAGTGAGAACAGGTAGCTCAGTCGAATGCTGTTCACATATGTCCCCGTAAATGTCCGGTAGGGGCCATGGTTGTAGTTGCACACCGATTTTTCACACACGGATGAAACATGCTTTCAAAACTTATTTCACGCCTTTCTTCCCGAGCCAGAGTTGTCGCGTTGTTCGAGTGAATGATATGTCCTGTTGTCCAGTAGTGTTCAACGAGCTTTCTCTTGGAATCCATGGCATGGGTGTCTATTACGACGACCTCTCTTTGTTCAAAAAAAAAAAAAAGCTCGTTGATTACTGCTGGACAGCAGCACCTACAATTGACTTGAGCCATGCGATGATAGTGGCACGGAAAAATTATTTATTAGAAAATTTCTCGAATTATGGTTCATCTGTCATGTGATCGGCATGTTGCAAACAACCACGGCCATTTTGAGTGACATCCCCTCATTTCGTTGCATTGTATACTAAGGAAACTACTGTCATATGTCCGTAATTTCTACGTTTAGGTCACCGACAAGTGAAGAAGGTTTGTGCTTGTTGGTGTTTGATATTGTTCCGTCACAATTGGTATTGAAATTAGTGAACTTGTAAACGTTGCTCAATTATGTTATCTCCGTGTTGCTTTAAATATTATAAACTGAGTTAAGTATTGTGTCATAAAGAGCCGGCAAGAAATCTTGGTCCCTTGGACCACATTGTGTACATTGAAGTCATCAACCTGCATAATGGCTTTATGCTTTTAGCTGTTGTGTGCTTTTCTACTGTTTTGTGAAAATCCTCATTGTTGTTAGTCTATCGTAAATATTTTTAATGACATACAAACGTGTTTCGACTACAGCAACTGCATACGCACAATGATGTATACTTACAAACCTTACCTAGAACGTACACACCTACGCCTTACCTGCTTATCTTTTTTTCCCTTTATACTGGTGATATGAAGGTGCGTGTGCTAAAGTCAACTCTGAATTTTTCCACTGCGATCTACTTTTGAGTTCTTGCCTATGTGCACTTTATATACGTATTGTTTATTCGTATTGCTTCTTAGCAGTGTGGTTTTCAGTTGTTTTCACCTTGTACTTGGCATTGTTGTTAGCAGTGTGCTTTTCATTTTTTTATCACATTCACGTTATACTTGTTAATGTACCGTAACATGCGTGTCTTGGCTCATGCCTTCTTAGTGTTGGTTTATTTCGAGTTCCCCGTTTTCTACGTGCCTTATAATCCACTAATGATGTAGCCCCTCCCTTCTGTAACGCTTCTTGTAACCCCTGAGGTAATAAAATAAATAAATAAATAAATAAATAAATAAATATAAATAAATAAATAAATAAATAAATAAAGTGAAGTTGCCGACTAGTATGAATAAATGATTCGTGCTTCCTGATGTTTAAGTTATATTGTTGTGTCACAATTATCAGTGATGTGAGTTTATTATAAACCTTTTTTTGTGTGTGTCCCACATCAACGCATCTATCTCTCCGTGGAAGACTCGGACAAAAACGTACAAATCTCGACCATGAGGTAATTCACCCCTACAGAAGCTCATGAAGGCTTTAATACATGAGCATTATGCCATTTCTGCAGTATGTGTAGTATTGATTACACCTACGTCATACTGTCCTGTCTTGGCGTGTTTTTTATAGGTGTCATGCACGAACGCAGGGATTGAGATACTTATGGGTTAGAAGGTAGTAAACCAACCCCTATGACTTCTCCGCACGTACTCTTTGACACTCGTGTTGTGCATGTCCTGCTAATAATGACGTCGCCTGTTATTATGGTTCATCCTTTACTTATGCTAAGACATAAAAGCTTTGTCATTTACCAAGTTTACGAAAGTAGAAGACAGTCAATGCGTAGACAGCCATATAGACAGATAGATAGACAGCCATATAGACAGATAGTTAGACAGCCATATAGATAGATAGGTAGATAGATAGATAGATAGATAGATAGATAGATAGATAGATAGATAGACAGCCATATATATAGACAGACAGACATACATACAGACAGACAGACAGACAGACATACATACAGACAGACAGACAGACAGACAGACAGACAGACAAGCAGACAGAAAGACAGACAGACAGACAGACAGACAGACAGACAGACAGACAGACAGGCGGGCCGGCAGGCAGGCAGGCTGGCAGACAGACAGACAGACAGACAGACAGACAGACAGGCAGACAGACAGACAGACAGACAGACAGACAGATAGATGGATAGATAGATAGATAGATAGATAGATAGATAGATAGATAGATAGATAGAAAGTAGATAGATAGATATATAGATAGATAGATAGATAGATAGATAGACAGACAGACAGACAGACAGACAGACAGACAGACAGACAGACAGATGGATAGGTAGATAGATAGATAGATAGATAGATAGATAGATAGATAGATAGATAGATAGATAGATAGATAGAGAGATAGCGGTTCCCAGTCTTGCTTATGTTCACCTCATCGAAAGAAAAATGGGCAGCCCCCAAGTAGCCCAAACTTCGAATATTGGTACCTGGTGGGTAATGTAGGAATATTAATTAGGAAGAGAACCATCTCTAGGGGCATTTATCAAAATGGTCCAGAGAAAAAGTGGTCTTTTTCATAGATTGCGGCATCTTTGATACAAGACACATTCAAATAGCAAGTTAGGTAGAAGTGCACGAGTGTTGAAGATTGGGCGAGTTGGTTAGTCGTACTTGAACTGGTATAGCGCATTATGGGGAAGAAGAAACGGCTGAGCAGACCGACACAAGAGGACAGAGCGCTCTGTCCTCTTGTGTCGGTCTGCTCAGCCGTTTCTTCTTCCCCATAATGCGCTATACCAGTTCAAATAGAAGTGCACATCGTGTCTGGTAATTTCTTTTTTTGGAAAAGAACAAAAGTTACAGAGTGAAAAGTGTGATGTGCCTACATGCCTTCACGGGAGTAGTAGGGACGCCATTAGATAAACTGCTGAAGTTGAAGCTGCTCACGTTTAACAGTGACTGTATGAATGTTTTATATTTCTACTGAATGGAAGACACGAGAGGAAGAAACCAACATTTTGATTACCTGGTGGTGCTGGTTGCTTTGAAGGCATCGGCTCGGTCACATGTGACGTAGCTGGGCTGTCTGTATTAGTGGTTGCTAAAAAAAAAAAAATCAATGAAAAATTACTTTCCTGAATAAGTCGAATCTATCCGGAAGCTTTGTGCAAGCTGCCAAAGCAGACTCAGCTAGCACTGATCAGTACTCCAACCAGAAAGAAACACCTTTATAAAGGCCACATCATAATAATGTAGATTTTGAACTTGTTCCTACCAAAACAAATTCAATGTGTTATGCAGGCCTTTCATCCTACACATCCTGCGCAGGAATAATTTCCAAGGTACACTACGGTGACAGGCTGCTTGATGTACAAGAGTACAAGTCGAACTGACTTTTTTGTTTATTTAAGGCAACGTTAATATGCGGCAAACGCTGGAATGCAATAGTGACTTCTAGATGATTAAAACAGTAATGTCATGAAAACAATTACTTATAATCACAGGTCGGCGAAAAATGTGGAGCTTACTCAGACTCACTCAAATAATACGTTTTGTTCCTCGCACTCAGGCTCACCAAACTTTTCGTCAACCAGACTCAAACTCACTAAATTTTTTTTCTGCTAAACACACTCAGACTAACGGCTTGACATGTATCTGGGTAAGTGCGATCAGTCGACTCAGGAGTCAGTCTGCCGGCCTATGCGTATGACTTCTGCTGAAGACACCATCGGCTGTGCTGCTTCGCTGAACTTGTGAACATTTCTTAGGAAAAAATACTCAGAGAGTGGCCAATCGTCATCGTGTGATACATTCCCCAGCTACTTTATATATTTTCTATCTCAGTGCTATCTTTTAAAGTTCAGATTGACTGATATTTTGTATATAAATATATCAGATATATCTACTTGCACGCTCGCGTCCGTACTTACTTTTTCATGCGAGACGAGCAATAAGTGATGCTGCTAGTGCAGATGACCAGTGTAGGACGAGCGCTGCTATCAAAGAATACTTATGCATATGTAAAGACAAGAGTTTACTCGTAACCTTGAAGATAAGAAAAGTTCTCGACCTTTTGCTTTGACAAAAAATAACAGAAATAATTGCTTCTACTCGGTTATAACCTTTCCACTGACCCATCATTCGTTCTTTTTAATATCCACTCAATGTCATAGTTACTCAATCCTTTACCCCTCACAAAATCAAGCAGAGAGAGCTAAATCATTGTACAGCATTTATTTATGGTATCTGTTCATTTTAAATACTGTATAGGAAACAAAACCAACATGCGTGAAAAAACTCGTGTTGCAACGTCGTGCCATTCCCCACCATTCCTAACAAAATCACGAAATCAAGCGCAGATGGAGTGAAACACCTTATTTCTATCGTGGTATATGTTGCTTTTGAATACTGCAAAGGAAGCGAAACAAACATCCATGAACAAGCTCTTGTTGCAACTTTTGTACTACTCTCAACTCACGATTCTGAGAAAGCTGGCATCGTTATTTTAAGTCAGGGTATATTTAAAGTCGGCATGCTTCGCAAGAGCTTCTACGTACGGGGCGTGGAGGCTTCTGCTTCAGGCGGGGCTGTCTCACACCTGCCAGAACGCACGTCAATGTCATCAATTGCCACGTCACTGTTGCCTTGTTGAGTACGGCCAGTAATAATAATCTGTGCAAAAGAAAGGTACATCGAAGCTTACGCTGACATCTGCACCATTGCAAACGAAAAAAGAAATGCTGATTTCGACCGTCGCTCATAGCTACCCTGAGAAAGCCACATTAAGGTCATTGCAGACCCCGATAAGCCCCCGTAACACAACAAGCTTATTAAAAAAAATAATTGGCGGAACCATTTAAAAATTGATGTCATACAGTCTCTAGAGATTATGTCATTCAATATTGAGATTTTCTAACCTAAACATTCAATCATTCCTCAAGCCTATCCCTCAGGCCAGGATAAAAAGACTAAATATACCTCAAGTATGGACGTTTTTTCACCACGATAACAAGTGATTATTAAGCAGCTGCAGTTTCGATGCAGGCGAAAATGCTTTAGGTGCGTGTGATCAGATTTGGGTGCACGTTAAGCCCCAGATGGTCGAAATTTCTGGCGTTTTCACTACAGCATATTGTAGACCATATGGTGGTTTTGTGACGTTACAATCAACACATCAATCAATCAAACGCAATGATGGGCTAATAAAGCAACAGTCACCTCATGCATAAAAAATTGCTTGTTGTATTAATAAGAAACTTACAAAAATTTCCACAATTACTACATTAGACCGATATTATCACGTTGTAAAAACGCTGTGTACGACCTTCGCTTTGAATTGAATCATGTCATATAAATTGTTTACAGCTTTCTACCCAGACCATTCTAGTGTGAATGCACTGAGGATACGTTATTTGACCTTCAGGTAAGTACAGATTCTCTCTTTACATACACCCACTTTTCCCACCTAATCATCTCTTGTTCGCAAGCATTTTGGCTGTAACCAACAAGAGATTTACAAATATTTACAAACATTGACAGCACATCCCAATTCACATTTACAGATTACATTTACATTTGCAAACACATCCCAACTGGTATTGTCTGTAGAGCTTTATGAATGTTCATGGTAAAGTAGTGACGAAATTTGGGCTTATCATATGTTCAAATAGTCAACGAAATCTCTAGTTTTGTGCACAAAAAAGGTGGTGTTTTAAAGATATACTAAAAAACTTAATATATTCCGAAGAAAGATAGCTCTATTCCTTGTAGCACTTACAGTGCAAACTATTCTATGCCTAGCAGATATAGCACTGCTGATGTTAGTTCAAGTGGAACTGTGTTCACTCTGAATTATCTCAGCAGCCAATATCTGTCTATGAACGGCCACTTTCCACCTGCATACTAAACGGAATGTAAGTGGTGGGTAAAATACCTGGCAGCTCTAGTTATGAACAGAAATGCAATACTGATTATCAATTAGCCGTGGCAAGGAATAGCATGCCATACACACACTAATGAATTTAAAGTTATTCAAATATTTTTTTGCCCGACCTTCAAGTCTATAGTTATTACATCAAATGTCACGAAGAGACCTGCTAGACTGAGGTCGAAATATATTAGGAATAACAGGGTCATATTAGCTCACACTATAATAAAGTTGAATTTCGAAAAAATATTTCCTGTTAACATTTATCTCAAGTGCTCCAAGCGTAAACACAGTGGTGGCTGAATGTGCCCGTCATATATTATTGGAAAATATTAGCGGGTTTGTGCCCAACCATAACACTCGAGTTTCTTGAGTGGCACGAGATTAAAATGACGTCAAGAAGAGGCCGGGGGGTTCCAGATCATAGATGCAGTTAAGGAGTTAGCCACATAAAACTTAGATAAATGCACTTTTCTTGGAGGTTTTCGTTAAAATTTATGCATAAACAAAAACTGTTGATACGGCAAATATATGCAACCAATGTTGCGAGTGCCAGCATTAGTGTTGAAATGCCTTTGTTAGCAGGTTCAAGAGGCATTTGAGTGTAAAAGGAAATTGACCACGAGTGAGGGAGATAAATATACTTAAAACAAGTTGTACTTATCTCAAAGTATCAAGTTGGGGCTACCTAATATTATTATTGAATATATGTCACAAAACATATATCGTTTCGTTTTTATTCTATGTTACTACCATGTCCTTAAGTGAGCTTTATGAATTCAGTCATCTTGGAGTTCTTTTTGATGTCATGCTATATTTTTTTGCTCCCACCAAAGGTGCTGGCGTGCGCGGCCTTCGATCTCTTGGCTGCGGCTGTATAATTTCGCGAGAATTCAGTTCTTCTACAGCGTTCCACAAACTTCACCTCTCTATATGTCTTCCTCAACTTCAATATGCATCTGTGATCTAGAATTGCAGTGACCCATTGAGCGAGTCTACAAAAAAAGTCAACCGTATGTACGAACATTGTTTATCTCAAAATGACTCCGGATCTCATTCTAACACTGCCAGATTATTATCATTGAGATCACTTGTCTGCTGACGAAATCACGGTAACCTATTACTTCTTCACGAAGTACATTAGGGTACCGTATTTCGCTCTTTTCGTCTGAGTTGCGTACATCTTCTGATTCCTGGTAAGCTAACCAGGAAGAATCGTTCATTTGATGTACTTGCCAACTTTTCTGAACACACTACTATTCACAGAATGCAAAGTCCCTGTAATGTTAACTTTTGTGATCTTTAAGTTTTCCACAGTCCAGTGTCATTGTTTTTATGTCAGCTTTGCACTGTCTTGGCATAGATTTCACTAAGTACAGGCTCTTCCCTTTTTCTTCTTTCAGGAAGGTTTCTACATAGTTGTGTATATTTTCCTTTATATTCACTTCGTTTTCAAGGTTCTTGTCTTGAATTCTGATTCTTTCCTTTTTGGGCTGATTTTTCTTCTCTGTATTTTTCACTATTTATTGGATTTTTCTGAAGAGTGTCTGTATTGTATTGCTTATTTGCAATGTTTTGTTTTTTATTGCGCCTGCACTGGGACCTCATGATTATTCCACGGCATGGTAAGTAAATAATTAAGTGATTTTATCACCATTATTATTTTTATAACGAATAATATAACCGTAATATTAGCAATAGTGATATAATTTATACTAATAATTACATATTAAAAATATTTTAAATACCAAGAATACAACGTTATCATAATTTTAATTATAAGTAGCAGTAATATTATGGCTTAGCGACTTACGTCCCAACACCTCAATATGATTATGAGGAACGACCACCTGGTGTTGCTTAACTTGCTCTTTAGCCCGAGACTTAGATGTTGTTTAACCAGGGCTTATTTTGCTTCCATCCAAATGTGACCGCGACGGCCGGAATGAGACCCGCGATTTTCAGGTCAGCAGCCAAGTACCGTAGCCACTATTCTACTCAGGAGAACTTACTACTCTGCTACTACTACTAGTACTAGAAGTAGTAGTGGCACGGTAGTAGCACGAAAGTACGGTAATAGTAGTTGTAGAAGTAGTAGCAGTAGTAGTAGTAATAGCATAAGTAGCAGCATAACTACCAGTGTGGAGGAAGGTGGCAGCATTAGTAATAGCATTAAACAAATTTTTGATTAACCACTAATAATCGGATGCTATGAGGTTGCGCAGAGGGACGCTGATGATTGGCTCACGATCACTAAACCCGTTGCTTAGGCGAACACGTCACTTACTGTGAATTTGGGAGGGAGCTCAGTTCTTTCCACTTGGAGTAAAGTCCACTGGCTCGGCGTGGTGGCTTTCACTGTCGTTGCGCGCCCGTCCAAGTAGTGATGCTCATCAAGAAACCCAACGCTCAACGATGCTTCCGCTAGAATCCGAGAAACAACCTCTATGTATCTGTTCGTATGATATACAGTTGGAAAGATAAAATTATTAGGCCTTCAACTGCTCAAGCACCTTCGAAATTCCTTTAAGACCAATAAATCTCCCTTGTTAGCATAACAAATAATTTTGAAAAGCTTCGCTCAGTTTTTTTTTCAAATTAGAACTTATTGTTTATTAGAAATTTAGTAAACGTGCTAAGTTTACTCAAAGAAATAGTCAAATTATGAATGAAAACTATATTTCAGAAAATTATAGGCGAAAGTCTGGCCTGCATTCCCTCCGTTATTAGTAGTCACTTTATTTATTCTCAATCAATTGCTTATTCAATGAAGGGGCAGTATGTGATTAATAAAATATGGCCATAATTGAATGATGTCAGTGGTAATATAAAATGTTAGTAATGTCTTACAACTGCACACTGAAACACATTCAGAATTAAACAAACAGAAACACACGTGAACACAAACAGATCCAACGTGTTGCACAATATGAGCGACAAATTGTCAATAAAAATTAAGTCATCAAAAAGCCAGAAAGACGAAGCATTTCAAAAGAACACTCACAGTTCTTCCTCATGACGTAGTAGAGTCGAAAGCACACAGCAGGGCTTAAGGTGAGAGCCTCACTCTGCATACTTCCAAGTGATCTTGCTGACGTGTCTTCGGCATCTAGAAGAAGGTAGTATCCTGCAAAATGAGAGAGGAAATATTTTTTTATTGATTTATCTTTACATACTGCAGCCCGAAATGGACTATCGCAGGAAAGGGTTTGCTATACATTAGCACACACAAAAATACAACTATTAACAAACAGGAATAGAACTCTTAATAAACAAATTCTGAATCAATACTTTTATGCAAGAAATTACAACTCTTAATAAACAAATCGCGAATCAATACATTCATGTAAGAAATATTCTAAAGGTAATAATCTAGTTGACCCAGGCAATACAGTGCATTTTTCTATAGTGTGCGGAAAATAGCTGAATTTAAATAGGTTAGTACGTGAATGGAATGGTGTAAGGTTGAGTTTGTGGCTATTTCTTGTGGGTTTCGGTTTATCAGGAGACAGACATTCGTTAGTTAATGCGTAGCGTAGGGCATTAACAAGAGTATGCATCAACTTTAGGCATTCGAGCTCGTATCGCTCGGACAGGGTTTGCAGACCTAGCGTAGCAAGTTGAGAGGAGGGTGAGAAATTCTAGTCGTAATGGCGGAAAATGAAACGGATGATCTTCTTCTGAACGGATTCTAGTGTGCTGATGTCCGATTTTTATGAGGGTTCCAAACGGGGCAGGAATATTCGAGGATGGGACGGATGAGCGAATTATACGTTAGCAACTTTGTTTCGGGTGGAGCATCTTTTAATGTACGATTTAGGTAGCCCAGTTTCCTTAAAGCTTTATTGCAAGAGTATTCGATATGTTTAGACCAAGATATATGGGGTGTGAAGATGAGGCCTAGATACTTATATTCGGGCAGACGTGACAGACAGGAGCCATTGAAGGAGTAATCGAACAACGAAACGGAGCTGAGTTTACAGAAGGAAAGAACAACTGTTTTAGTTAAGTTTATGTTCATTTGCCATGTGTCACACCATCTGCAAAATTGTGCAAAACAATTAAGTAAATTGTGGTCATAATCGGTATTAATTACATTATATAGGACACAGTCATCAGCGTAAAGGCAGATTTTTGCAAACACATAATTGGGTAAATCATTTATGTACAATAAGAACAAAAGTGGTCCCAGGACTGAACCCTGAGGGGACTCCTGATGAAACATTCACAACAGACGAGTATGAGGAATTAAAAGAAACAAACTGAGAACGGTTGTTTAAAAAGCTAGCAATCCAGTCAACTAAGGAATAATTATTAAGAACAGCGTGAAGTTTGTGCAGAAGTTTAGATGTTTAACAATGTCGAATGCTTTTGCAAGGTCGATGAATATTGCATCAATTTGGTAACCAGAGTCTAGAGCGTTCAAAATGTCGTGAGAAAATTCTACAAGCTGGGTTGTTGTACTAAAACCTTGGCGAAAAGCATGATGGGGATTACTTAGAATGTTATTATATTCAAGAAACCCCATGATATGCTTAAACATTATTTTTTCTAAAAGTTTACATGAAAAGTTTACATGAATATGAAGGACTAAAAGTCACACTAATGGTGAAGCAATATGTACACGGTTGCGCTTGCTGTGTAGACAGTCGGGCAAACTCAAAGTTGTAGTGAAGTTTCAAGAACGAAACAGGCACATCCAATCGAAAGGGTAGGGAACTAGTATATAATAAGTTCACTGCCTGTTTTCAATTTTATTACAATGTGACCCATTTATTATCTGATCGCATTCGTACCTACGTGAATATATCTAATGTAATATTAATATTGCTAATGATATTATTATCAATACCCTATTTGACGTGCCCAGGAACAACCATAGGGGTTTTGTGCGGGCGCATGCAAAAATGAACAATAAAAATTAACAATTTCATACAGTCTTCAGATGAAAAGATAAAAAAAGAAGAAATAAGCCCGTACAGAAAGAGGTCAACGCAAAAATGAAAGAATAAAAAGACAAGACGAGAATAATGCAATGGAGTGAAACACATTGTGGAATATACCGAACAATGCGGAAGGCCTCCTGAAAGACAGAAAAAACAATGAACGAATGCATTTTGAAAAACAGTTTCAAGGCAGCGCAAAGCTGAGGTAAGAGCGTTGACTGTATACTATTAAAACATCAAGATCAAGATAGTTAACATTACCAAGACGTTCTATTCCGTGAATAGGCAGGGTGTTGGAGGAAGTTGGCAGGTACAAAGAACGGTCGATTCGCTCTGGGTAATTTAGGTGGAATCCAAAATTATTACAACAGAGAAGTAAAGGGCAGTACGCGATACCATGAACTACCTTGTAAATAAGAAAAAATACGCAGAACCCGCGTGGTTTGCGAGTTGATGTTATGTGGATTGAAGGCGACTATGTTGTAATTTTCTTATTGAGATAAGCGTTGCGAAGTGGACATAGAAGTACAGCTACAAAAAACAGTGGGCACAAGAAACAAGTAAATAGGATGGGTGCTATTTTTGCATACTTGTCTCTTGTGTGTCGCCTTTTTGCTCTCTACTTTAATTTTCAGACAATGAACCTACTCGCCCAGCAACGCATCCTCTTACGAAGTGGCACCGAAGATATGTGCCAATGCACTCAAAGGCATATGTTAAACAAACGTATTTGTTTATATAACCAGTTGGTTACAGTTGCGTGATGATACCAACAGCAACATGGACACTAGAAACACCAGAAGCGGTAAGCTGATATGAAGAGCCGGCGCTCCGAGAATGGGAGCTCTGAATACTGCTAGATCGATAAACTTCACCTAATGGCGTCTACCTGCAATTGACGTTAATCCGACGTGACGACTGTGTCGTGGGAGTACATATGTAATGTTTGCAAAATGGGGGGCATAGCCAGCACTGCAACCACAATTGACACTTCACGAATTATTTGAAAAGTACTTAAGTGAGCTAGCCGGTCTGTGTTTTAGAATACTTGTTCGCCATGCATATTTCTGAGGTTCAATTTATGCTGGGACCCTGAAATGTATTCTTTGCGTTCGTCAGGCCAACGCCACCGATGTCAGATTTTTCTTAACGCTCACGCGTTAAAACTTCCCATGTCTGTTTTCGCCGTTACTGTGCATACATAAACTGTTAGCAACTTGTGGGACATACATGCATGCATACCTGTGGCACGCACACGCCCTCGGGTATGTGCCACACGTCCAGCGGAAAGGCTTTGACGACGCAGGTGACGGGATTTTGATATTGCCCATGTCATCATCAGCACATCACGTTTGCTAAACCATCTCACCCTTTCACACTGAATTTCGTTTACGCCAAGATAAGGAGATTATAATGAGAGCACATAGAAGTAACCACCTAAATAGATAGATAGACGCTCAAACTGGCTGTCGTATGCTAAGAAATGTTTTGCATTTATTACCAGGTCAGTGTGATTTTGTCGACAGTAATGTGATGTCAGTGAAATTAATCTGACAATGGTACAACAATATAGAGAGTCGTTTCTAGCGAAACGATGGTTGTAAATGCTTATGGATTTTATTCCCGACTTGTGCATAGACGTTAATGATGTATTTAGCAGTGCCATTCCGAGTGAGAGATGCCTACTCATGCTGAGAAATGCATATTGCTGTATACAATTTGGGGAAGACAGTTGGAGAGCTGATTTCTTGGCAGGTTTTGCAAACACCGCCTATAGAGTGAAGGCCTCGAGTAGCAGCACATTGCGTTGCAGCATAAAACCTTAGCATGCTATCAAAGAGAACACCAAGATCACTGATTTCATAAACCTTACATAATAACATGGTACTGACAGAGTACATGGAAATGACACGATTAATGTTTCGCGAGATTTATAATCATAAATTTAGTTTGATGATTGAAATGTGGGGTTTAACCTTCCAAAACCACCTTATGTATATGAGAGACGCCGTAATGGAGGGCTCCGGAAATTTCAACCACCTTGAGTTCTTTAACGTGCACTCAAGTCTGAGCACATGGGCCTACAACATTTTCGCCGCCATCGAAAATGCAGCTGCCGCAGCCGGGATTCGATGCAGTGACCTGCGGGTGAGCAGCCGAGTACCTTAGCCACTAGACGACCGTGGCTGGGTGAATAATAAATTTGGTCTTTGAGGTAATCACAAAAAGGTAATTGTGGGCACACCATTCAAAAAAGAACACGAACCTGACTGCAGCAAGCGGCAGTCGGTAACTGAATGAATTGCCTTAAATATCTTAATATCATTAGCCTACAAGAGATAACAAGAATAGCAAATTGCAGAAGAAACATTGCTAACGTTATTTAAAATAGGAGTGGGCTTTACGCCGACCTTTGAAAGACTCCACTAGCCACGAAAAGGAGTCATGATATGGTCAGCCAACAAGTGGCGGTTTTCAGCGGGAAACGAATGCAGATTGTCAAATACACTTTTACACGTGTGAAAACTGAACTGTAAGAGATTATTTCAGTCCCAAGTAAGCAGTAGAAGTCATCAGCTGTAAACTCCACCCACCGCCAGTACAAAGAATACAAGGGTTTGTCGAGGCTGAATTAGCGAGCAAGTGGTATTTAGGGCCGTGGAATCGGGAAAACGGGCAGACTTTTGTTGGATATCATATATGCATGCACGACTTTCGGTATGCTTTATATATGCTTGCACGACATAATAATTAGGCGTTCGTAGCAATGCTTCCCGTTCAGGTCATATTTTCTCCATTGGTTGTTGCTTGAAACATATGTAAACATAAGTCGAAGTGAACGGCATATCAGTGCAGCGCTAGGATTACTCACAATAAACATTTTGACCGAATCTTTGCTTGAACTCTATCGATTGCTTTTGGTTGCGGTAAAAAAAATAGCAAGTGTGACGCTTAACTATGGCACTGCCTGCGACGAGTTTGAATAAATATTTATCCGTAGCGTAAACGGCATATGCATTGCACAGTAACAGAGCACTATTTGACCTACGAAATTGCATGCTGCAAGAACCAGCGCTACATAGGTGACCCGGCCGCATTGTTTCAACACCTGAAAGTCATTTAGTTCCAGTGACACGTTCAACAACGCATAAAAAGTTAGACTGCATGCAAGCGCGTCTGA